GTTGCTGCCAGGCATGTCTGGCTAAGGGAAAGCATCCCATTTAGGAAGGCAGCCAAGTGCCTGCATCCTAAGGATCAGTGTTGGTGGTGGAGGTTCAAAGTTATTGTGTTGTATGGCTCTCCCACCTCCCCAGGAAGTATCTGGGAGTTCTCTCCTGGATGAGTTTCATTGAAAAGACTTCAAACCAAGTGTGACCTTAAGTTAGTAATAAACAGAGGTGACAATGAAAAATATGAAACTGCTTTGTCATGATCTTCTCCCACACACTACCTTCAGCTACCAGGATGTTGGATAAGTGTGTGGGACTGACACCAGAGTGATGGAAGACAAGCCTTAGCTGAATAAAAACATTTAATTTTATCATATTACTTTAAGCACTCCTTGAAATTTGGGGCTTTGCTTTGTTTGTTTTTTTTTTTAATCTTTCCAAAGCTTTGTCAGGTGGTAATAATTTTGCAGACTCTGCTCAAAATGGGGAGACTAACTGGAAATAACTCATTATTTCTTCATCCTCTTGGCTGGGGGAAATTGGCGCAGTATTAGTCCCTGTACCCTTGGGAGTTATTACAGAGTAATGGCAGGAGATCTGTGGTTTTTTTAGGAGATGAGGAGAGGAAGAGCTCAGGAAAAAAGCTAGGAAGGATAGTCTGAAAGCTTGAGTGCTGGTACAGAGGCAAGGGTAGTTTAATGGGATCTTCATTTGTGAGCTGATCACAGGCGATGGAATGGGGCAAGAATAATCTTGGCTGAGAGTTACTAAATTAGATGGCCATGTCCTCTCCCATGGGCCCACTGTCTCTAAAGCTGTGTTGACTTGCATGTTCCCTGAGGAAGTATTTAAACCCATCCAAACTGCCAGCCTGACCTGGGGACCCTGCTTCAGCTGGACAGAAGACTTGGTGAAACCAGTCTCTCCAGACATGTGAGATACTTGTATGAAGTTTCATATGTTGGGTATTGTGGCACACCTGTATGTTGGTACTGCCCACAATAGTCAGGCTCACTTTAGTCTTTCTCCTATAGAATCTGTAGTCTGTCATGGAAGTGAATATTTACACTTTTCTCTGTTTTCTGCAGCTCACAGTGGTCTCTTGTGGTCCACAAATACCTAAAAAGAAAGCTCACCACATTCAAAGCTAGCCTAGTGATAGTAAAGCTCTACTGCCCTGAGATGTTCAGAAAAACCATGGTCTCCTGTATTTTTAGCAGGTAATTTCTGCTGCTTTAGATACTAGGAGAGTCCTACCAGACTTAAAACAAAAATGCCTAAGTAGTGGTGGGTTCATCACCTGAAGTAACAGAGAGGCCTGGAAAAAAAGCTTCTCTTATCAAATGTCCTCTCTAGTTTTGTATTGCAAACATTGCTTGGTTGCTCCATAGCAACTCTGTCTGGGGCAGCTGGTGTGAAGCACACTTTGCTTGGCAGGCTTTTTTTGGGAGCTGTGGTGTCAGTCCCCTTGACCTGCACCAAGATGTTTGAGGAGGGAAAGGCCCTGCCAGATGACTGGGGCAGTGGGTAAGGGAATTGCTGGAGTCAGCTCTGGCAAGCCTGGGAATAGTCTGCAGTATCATGTTCTCACCAAGCAGAGATGACAATCTTATGTTAGTTTTCTGTGACCATCTTTGGAGTTTTCTCTCCTTTTTATTGTGCCTGGTGTCTCATCCAGCTCCAGCCAAGTGGGATTTGAACCCTTTTTTCCAGGAAGGTCAAAACTGCTGGAAAGGCTTTAAAGGAGAGGCTGCCTTGTCTCTTGCTGTGGTATTTCTTACTGTGTTGGTCTCTTGTTGCTCCCTGCTGCCAACCACTGCTCCCAGTGCCCTGGCTTGGGGAGACTTGGCTCCCAGGCACACCCTGCTGTCTGCCCATCCAGGCTAGCTGTGCCACCCATGCCTGGCATGTACTGATGGATATCAGTGGCTCTCAGGAGCAAGTGAGCATTTAGCAGAGTTCAGCTTAGGCTTTAAGGACTACTTTGCCTGTTCCGGCTCAGGACATTCAAGTGCTGGGCAACAGATATGTTTGTTTTTAAACTAAGGTATAACAGAGCTTGAAAGTGGAGCTAAGGAGGTTGTTAGCCTGAAGAGACAGATCAGCTAGGATCCCCTCTCCCTTTCTGGTCTTCAGTTGCTCCTGAAGAGTTGGAGGCTGTCAGATATTTACTTCCAAGACCAGGCCAGCTGTACTGGTGAAACAAGAGAAGTAGGAGCAGGTATATCATAGTATGGTTTGAGCTGGAAGGGACTTAAAGATCACCCAGTTCCAACTTCTCTGTTATGGGCAGGGGCACCTTCCACTAGACTAGGGTTCTCAGGGCTCCATCAAGCCTCACCTGGAATGCTTCCAGGGATGGGGGCATCCACAGCTTCTCTGGGCAACCTGTTCAAGTGCCTCACCATTCTCACAGTTAAGAGTTTTGATTTCTAATATTCAATCTGAATTCCTTCTCCACCAGCTTAAAACCATTACCCCTTGTCCTATCACTGCTTGCCCTTGTGAAAATTCTTCTTGGAGACCCCCTTTAAGTATTGGAAGGTGTTATAAGGTCTCCTTGGGAAGAGGAGAGGGAGAAGAAACTGGGAATTGGACTCCTTCCTCAAGGGGTACCATTTGATGCTAGTATTTGAAGTAGGTTTTCTTAAGCATCTGGCTTTTGATGCCTTCCAGCCATCAGATGGCCTGACAAATGATGACCTTCCAGGCAAACCCTGTTTTCCCTGGAGCAGTGTCTGCTTTTACTTCCTAGTAAATGAGGGACAGGATCAGGCAAGCTGGTACTGGTGTTCTTAAAGCCCTCTTCTCCTGTACACATGGATTTGTCATGCTGTAGCTCAGCCTGAAGGTCAGTATGAACAATAGACAATTGTGTAATGGTGGGGTAAACTGCATTGTCAGCCCCGGGAGCACCAGGGTGCAGCTATGCAGGAGCAGGGCAGCATTGTGCCTCCTGCATACCAAAACCTTGTTGCAACATACCTGAGCATTCACAGCAGTGCTGGGCCCTGCAAGCCAGGAGCTGGGGCTTGGTGCCTTGTGCCTGTGCAGGTAAGGCTGTGCCTGGGCAGTCTGAGATCTCCGTGCCGGGGAGTAGGCAGGCACCGGGCAGTGCCAGGCAGCTATGCAGTGGAGCCTGGCAGAGGCCACCCAGTCAAAACTTGCCCTGACGGGTTTGCAAATTTCCTTCAGGCTGTGAAGTCTTGAGTAGGCTGTCAACGCACTCCACCCGGGTGATCTGCTTCCAGGGAAATGTATTTGCTGCTGTGATGGGGCATGTGACAATGCTGCCCTGAAGCGCTTCTAGTCCTGCTTAATCCTCATGTTGTTCCCCCTTATCTCTTCAGTTTGCTTCCTCTTGTGGGTCATCCTGCCATGCTGAGCCACCAGCTTGTTCCCCTTATCTTCCTTCAATGTAAAATCAAAGCAATTAGTAGCTGTGCTCAGGCTGCCCTGTGATACACCCTCAGTGATTTAGATGGCCTGTCAGTCCTTCTTGCAGCTGCCAGGAAGACCTGGGAGCAATGATGCTGACAGCCAAAATGCAGGGTGCTACAGAAGCTTTTGAGCAAGAGCTGGTCATTAACTAGATGTGAACAGCTTTTCTAGGGTTGTCCTTAACTGGCATGGAGCAGCACACTGACCCAGCAGAAGGGATGTAAGCTGGGCTTGCTTTGTTTTATACAATGAATGCAATAGCTGCGTATTCTCTGTGCAGATCACTTGCTCTGAAATACAAGCACTTCACAGAAGTGTGGATCTCGATAGGGATGCATGGATGAGCTATTTCAAGCAGTGCTGAGGCTGGTTTTTAAGATGAGACTACTTACTCCATGTGCCCACCTCATGCTGCCATTGACATACAATGCCCCTTTGGATTTTTGTGGTGGTTCTGAGCAAGTTAAGGCAAGTAGGTAATGAAATTGTTTCATTTCCTCCTATTTGAGGGGGTGATGGTTATGATGGGCTTTGTCTCCAAGGCTGCAAGTCTTGCTTAAGAGTGCTGCCTGGTCTTAACTGAATGTTCCAGTGCTGTTTTGCTGTTCCCTGTGTGGGGTGAAGGCTTCTAGCCCTAAACCCATGGCAAACATAGGCTTGAGCTAGTTACTGTACATTATGAACCTCCTAGGAACAGGAGGAACTAGTGCTGATTAAAAAGAAAAACCTCCATTTTGTAGTACCTAGCATTGCTTGTGTCAGGAAACTCTTAGGGGACAGCTGAACTTTCATCTCTATTTCTTGGTCAACACCTGTAAGAAAGGCAACTCTAGTTAAGGCTGAAACAGGAAGAGCCCACAGGATTTGAGCTCCATGGGAAAAAAATCTAGTTTGCTGCCTTTAGTTCTGTGCATGGTCTTTTCCTGTCTCTGATAGCAAATTTTTTTTTTTTTTTTTAAACAGCCCCATGCTATATACAGCTTCCTTTCCTGCCCTAGGGTAGAGGATAATGAGTTATGGGAGGACGTTGCTTCATACCCTGGAGAGTGCTTGGATATCTGGCAAGGGCAGGCTAGGAGCAAATTCAGCAGCAGGTCAGAGTTGCACAAGGTAAATGCACACTTAAATGTGAATGGTAACTAGTGAGACCAGAGTGAGAAACCTGTACATAAGAGCTTGTCAGAGGAAATTACATATTCCTGGATTTTGCTTTAGAAATAAACAGTAGGTACAGCTCTTGTTTGCTTATCAGAATAAAAGCAGGGCTTTGGGAGGATGAGGAGAGAGTCAAGGACAGTTTAAGATCTTTTTATTTGTTTGAGATTTCCTTGTCTGGGCAGGACAGCAGTTGACATGACTGCAGCAGGGTTGGGCTGTTGCCTCTTTCCTTTTGTTGCCTGCTTACTTTGTTTCTTTCACTCGTGCCTGCCTTCCCCATGTTTGTGCCTGCTCAAGGGCCTGTAGTGTCTTGCTGCCTCCCAGCACTGCAGACACAAGTCATGAGGATATGACTTCTGCCCTCAGTGGTCTTTGTCAACTTGTTCTCATCTTTGCAACTCTGAGATGTGTGAGTTAAATGATGTCTTGCAGAGCAGCTAACAGGAAGTCACTGGCAATGTGGCTCACTTGTTCTTGGTAGGTTACTGCCCCTGCAAGCTGTGAGGAGGTCCTTGTATAAATTATTAATTAGTTGATATGTTTACAGTACTAAGTCTATCTTCTTATTCAGCCTAAAGTGTATATATCCAATATAAATTGTTTCTCCTCCCCTTCTGTCCTCACAGCTTTTGAGATTCAGCAACTGCTCCAGAGAGGTGTCTCCTGTGTAAAACCCCAGGCTCCTGTACAATGTACCAGTCCAGCCTGGTGCCACGGGAATATTACCCAGCCGTGATGCCACCTTGTGCCTACACCTACCCACCGCTGCGGCCTGGGAGAGCAGAAGACGTGTCCCGCTCTGTGATGTTCCCTCCCATCCGCATGCACAACTTCTACAGCCGCCCCATCACCTTTGTGGTGGACCGGAGCAGCTACCCTGACTATGTGGGAGGTCAGGTGGAGTATCATCATCTCTATGGAGCTTCCAATCCCTATATCCATCCATACCACACCTGGCACTTCCCTCCCATGGTCCCTATCCCTCTCTACAATCCCTATGCAAACTACCATCCCTATGCTGCCTACCGGAGGTCAGATCAGTATCGAGACACGTGGCCTGAAGGCTTCACAATGAGAGGAGAGCTTCAATGGGGAAAGCTTGGAAAGGTGTTTGGGCCAAAGAAAGACCTCCCAGAATTTGTGAAGGATGATCTCCGGAGGGTTTATGGCACCTACCCCCGGACCAATGTCTCCATATCTTATCGGAAAGGAGAGTTCTTGGTGAAGGGGGACCCCAAGATAGAAGACCAGGAATATACAGTGGAGAAGGTCACCCAGCGGGCTGTGACCCCCAGTGCCAGTGAGGCAGATGACAGCAGTGAGGACCGGAACCGTAAGAAGAAAAAGAAACTGAGACATTGAGGTAATCAGATACCCAGTGGACTGATGCTCCAGTACCCTCATGGGAGCCAGTTGGCAGCTCTTTTTGGTGTGGTTGGCAACTAACACAAGCAATAGATGCCACCATTCCTGTTGATTTCTTTTAATTGCTCCCCATTCTCTACAATCTTGTGGCAGATTTACCCTTTTTGATGCACAATGTCCATTCTGTGAAGAAATCACATGACACTTGACTCTTGGATCAGTTCATTGGTCCTGGTTTTGAAGTGAACATTTGATTAACACTGGCTTGAGTGACTGGTCACAGCTTGGTGGGGGATCTCCAAACTGCAGCCCTTGATCAGAGAAGATGGGCCTCTTCCTACCTTGTCCAGGGGAGGAGCCTGTAAGCTCGTTCTCTTCCTGGAGAGATAAAAGCTGAATTTCCTCCAGGCTGAGGGCAGTGCAGGTCCCAGAGAACATGGGGGTTCTTGAACACTCTGAAGAGCGATTGTCTGCCTGTCTTGTCACTGCTGTTTATGACCATATCATTGTGCTTTATCACCACGTGAGGCCTGTATGCAGCACTTCCCCACACTGTGGTGTCCCCATCCTCTTACACTTGATAACGTGGTGCTCAGTATTCTTGGCCACATGTCCTTATTGAAACTGCTGTTGAGGCCTTGCTCTGGGTCTGACTTGGCTCTAGTTGGAGGTTCTGACTCTCCAATGAGGTTACTGGAGTTGTGTGAATAACTGAACTCCCATAGCTTGGTGGTTGTACTGGAAGAGCTGTGCTGGAAGCCTGGAGAGCTCTGAGGGGCTGGGTGAGACTTACTTGCAAACTGCTGTACCTTTTTAAATTATTATAAACAATAAAAAAAAGACCCAAATGCAAATACTTATTTCTGATTCTTAACTACCTAACATCAGTCCCTTTTGCGAACAACTTGCAATCAGATCTGGCACCTTTTAGTGAAGTTGGAGATGGCTTCTGCCATGGTTCATCCTGAGCTATGGTGGTTTGTCCTGCTTGGCAGTACCCTGCCTTGCTGTAGTTTGTTTTCTGGCAGCTTCTCTAGGGACCAGCAGGAATTTTATAAGCATACAAGAGAAATAGGAGACCTTCTCTGTCCCCCTGTAGGTTCCTAGTCTCCCCCTGACCTCCCATATGGAAGGGAATGGGATGTTACCCATCTGCAAAGCAAAGGAGGGACTGTGAGGGTGAACTTGGAGGCCCTTGGTTGTTTTGAATTGCTATAAAGTGAAAGCAAGTGGATTTTTTTTTTTTTTTTTTTTTAGTTAGTGCAACAGGTTTTGTTTTACCAATTGCCAAAATGTCTTGGCAACTGTCTGCATTTCCCCTTCCCCATTTGGCTTCTTGGAAATGTGTCAACTCTGCTGCCAGACAAAGCTGCAAGAGGGCTGAACCAGAAAAACTGCTGTAGAAACCTTGGACCAAACTGATGCTCCTTGGCTGTGTTGCAAACAGTGGCAGTGGGACTTGCTGAATGGGCTAGAAAAGGCCTCCATTAATGTCTGCTGGCTGATCAGTTATGCTGAAAGGCAGCAGTTCCTGCTGGGTTGGTTGTTCATTTGTTGAGGTTTTTTTTTTTTTTAATCTCTTCCTTGGCTGAGCAGGCTGCCCTGCCCAGTTAGGGATGTGTGGTTAAATGTCTGCGTCAGCCTTGCATTGGTGGCGCACTCCCTGTCCTTCCAGCAGCAGCTCCTTTGGGCAATGAACCCAAAGTTCATGCATTGGATGCTTGTGCAATGGTGTAGTACCTCAGTGGGGTGTGGGAAGGACTTTCTTCCCTGTCCCCTGGAGCTCTTGAGGGGCACAGCTGAGCTGCCAGACCTGGATGCTGCCTGCCATGGGCAGGGGCTGCTTTAGGTTAGATCCTGGAAGAGGTGCAAACCAGCTCTTCTAGGCAAGGTGAGAAGGAGCATGTGGTTTGCCATACAGTGATGTGGAAATGCTACCTAAACTGCAAAGACTTGCACAATAATTTATCCTAAATGCCATTCCTCCAGCCATTAGGTTCTTGGTGGCAGCATGATACCATGTGATAATGGAAAGGTCCCCAAAACTCAATGGGCACAGCCAGGCTCTCCCAGAGGTATGTGATGGATGAGTGAAAACAGAGCCTGTAGTGTACACAAATACTTTCTCTAAATAAGTGTCTTTGTTGGGGTCATCTCTAGGGCCCACAGGGAGACAGAAGGGCATAACCCTTAATTTTACCCATCCTGTCCTGTTTATCTTCTCCCGAGTTTTGTTTGGTTTTACTGCCTGGATTCTGAACAGGAGATTGCTGGGCACACCCAGGCTGTTGTTCTGACAATGTGTATTTTTAGCAGAGGCTCACAATTGCATGCAATACATCAGGAGGTAGCAATGTATTTATTTTCTCAAGTGCCATTTCACTTCCAGAGGGAAGAAAACATTCTATAGTTAGGCTTTTTTTTCCCTTGGGGGTAGATGTGCCACAAACGTCTAGTAGCTCTCTGACAGCAGATGTTTTTATGGTGGCCATAGCTCCCCTCCATCCCTAATCTGGTCTCTGTGCAGGAGCAAAGATTTACATACTAGTTGTAGGAAGAGTTCACAGTTGCCTTCTCTTCCTGAAGGTTTGAGGCCCAGTTACTGCCCAGCTGCAGAACTGAATCCATAGGGCATTTTGGAGGCTTTAACGCCTATGGAATTCAGTTCTCAGAGCCAAGCAGCCAGTGCACGTCAGCTTCCCCTGGCTCCAGCCAGCTGTGTTTCCATCTGCAAGGGGGGAAAAAATAGCAAAGAGCTCATCATGTCTTTGACACAGGGCAGCCACTGAGTTGACACAGATTTTTGTAACTGAGAGCTGCCACAAGAAGGCTCTGGCACCTCTCACCCCAGAAACAGCACAGACAGGCGCAGCTTTCTTTGGAAACTTTGCTCAAGTTGGCTGGCTCTTTTTTTTTCCACTGCTTCAACATATCCTGTTGTTTGGACTCACTGAAAAGCTTCAGGTCAGCCCTGAGCTCTGCAAACCTGCTAGAGCTGTAAGAGAAACACCATTCCTGCCACCTGGGGCTGGTATTGGCAGGTGTGTTGAGAATCCCCCTATGTACTTGCTTTGCGTGCAGGTGTCAACACATCCCTTGGTCTAAACTGCTCTTCCTCAGTGTGTGTGTCTGAAAAGGGGCAAGCTGTCCCAGGGGGATGCTCAGTCCTGTAGGAACAGCCCAGCACTCCCAGGCACTGACCCTCTGCTCCACTGATAGTGAAACCACTGCCCATGGGGAAACCTCTTCACCTGAGAGGTGCCAGCTGAGGGGAATGGTTTGTGCAGCTGGTGCTACTATGGGTGGACCATGAGGTGCAGGGGCTTTTGGAAGTGGGAAAGGACACAGGGTAATTCTGTGTAAAATGAAGAGTGAAAGGCCTTTTCCAGATAGCTGAGAGAGTAGATTCAGGGAGGTATTGGTCTCTGTCTGGGTTAACCTGGGACTTGCTGGTGCATCCCACAACTCTACACATGTGCTTTGCTTCCCACTGCCCCCACCCTCTGGTTTGGGCTGCAAAGCTCACATGCATGGAAGGCCAGACTTGAGGGGTACATGAGGATCCCTATGAGCACCCACAGAGATGCTGATGCTGCCAGCAGCTTTGGGCAGCCTCACCTCTCAGTAAATGTTCACCTTCAAACCTGGGGACTGAGCTAATGGCTGAAAAGCTTTTCCTTGGCTCAGCAATAGTTTAGTACAGTTGTGATGACAGCAGCTCAGGCAGGAGTAAGCACTGGGAGGGGATTGCAGCCCTTTGCCTGTAAGCCAGCAGTAGAGAGCAGCTGCCCTTGGGTCAGCAGAAGAGATGGGAAATGACACACACCACTTTGGAGCAAGGGCAAAGATTTCAATGGGGGAAGCACTGAGCAACTGTCGCACGAGCAGTGAACTCCGCGATTGCTCAACTGCTGGCCCAGGGCTCTATTTTAATCCCTCCTCTGGGAATTACAGTTCAGTTAGGGCAACATGAACTCACCATCCCGATGCACATAGCAAAGGAGCCAAAGCCTGTTGCAAAAGCTGAGGAATCCCAGGCTGAAAGTGCCAGCTCTGGTGTATCCCAGGGACCACGTGCAGCAGTACCACAGGGCCTGCCTGGAGGGGCAGCAGTGGAGGCAGATGGGGTAAAGCAGCGCTTACACCAGGGTCCCCACCCTACAGCAGGTGGTCAGGGTCGGATAGGCAGCTCAGGGAGCCAGCTCTACATTGTGCTGGTTTTCAAACCACTGTGACTTGGCAGGGAGTTTTCAATAGCTCTGAGCTCCTCAAGCTCTGATCTCCCTCCTCCTCCCCCTGCTCTGCAGGCAGCCACCTGTGCAATTGAGTGGGCAGGAAGGCAGCCTGCCAGAGATATTGCAGCCACATGGAAGCAAGCACCTGCCAGTCTGAAATGGTTGGTAGGGTTGGGATGCTCTGGGGTTGCTTTTTGTCCATCTCATGCCCATAGGATAGTTACCCTGCAGTTCCTGGCTATTTGAGTGCATGGAAAATCTTTGTATTTAATTTTTTAAGATGTAAAAGTCTCCTCTGAGGCATTTACCTCACATTATTGGTGGAATCTGCTATTCAAAGTGCCATCCATCTGCCTTCCTCCTTCTGCTGCTCTAAGCAACCACTGCTTTCAGAAACTGAAAGGTGAAGACCAAGGAAAAGCCTTCCTCCTCATCTTCCTCCATGGGCTGATTTGCAAAGAAAGGGAAAGGGTTTCAAGCAGACAGGCAGGTGAGCAGGATGGGGGTCCACACCAAAAAGCCCTCCCTGATGGTTCTCCTTCCCTTGCTCCATGGCTCAGGGCAGTGATGTGGGTGCTGGGGCTGAGTGGCACAGCCCAGCAGCCATCTGGCATGAATTCCCCCATGTCCTGTGCCCCACTCTCCCAAAGGTGGGGCAGGAGATAGATCCAGCATGATACTTTTGGCATCCTACTTGTGGGTACTGGGACTGAAGCACCCATTGTCGAAATGTACCAGAAACAGTTTGATCCAAGTACAATGGAAAGCCCATGGGGAATGAGCTGGGAAAGAAATTATTCAAATGCAAACACAGAGAAGCTCCAATTCTGATTTCTTTCCTGGCTGCTCCTGCATACAATGTCCTCATGGCATGGCATCCACAGTACCCTAGATGCTCTGCCTTTGCTCCTCGGTTTTCCTGACCCAGCTTTGTCCTGTGTTCCTTCACCCAGGCAGGGCCAGGGCTGCACTTGGCCCTGTGTATTTGGGATTATTCCTTCCCCTAGGGAGTCTGCACTGGAATGGGGTGCCAGGTAATACCTGGGAGGTCAGGGATGAATGGAGATGTGGAAGACACCTCGGTGATGGGTATTTTGCTGGTATGAAGGTGCCTTGCCCTGGCTTGACACTGTGTTTTCTGGAGGCTGTGTCAGGGCCAGGCTACAGAACTGCACTGTGGGGTGACCATTGCCCCAGCTCAGCTCCGGGGTGAATTGCATCAGGCCAGCTGCCACCTTTGCAGGTGGGGGCTTCATAGCCCCACTAGAACCTGCATCCCCTGACCCTGAAACAGGAGCCCTTGGCCAAAAGCTTGAGAGCTCCTCAAGGCTCCTGACCTCAGCCCAAAATGATGGTGAGTCAAGAGGCACTGCAATCAGGTGCCCAGGAGGATACTGCTGCTGTGGGGATTTCTCTGTGGAGCTCAGCAGAAATGGCCACATGAGCAGATTTCCCCATGGCAAGCCCCGCTGGGGGCGATGGGAGGACACAGAAGCAGAAGCTCGATCATGGCCAAGCCTGCTGCTGGAGAGCTGTGCTGCACCAGCTCAGCCCTGAGCTGCCAGAGGCATTGGCTCTGTCTGGCTTTGGATCTGCACTCCCTCCCTGCTGTGGGTACAGGGACAGGCTGCAGTGCTGCCCTGCCCCTCGCTCCTGGGGGAGACAAAGCACAAACTACTGCTCCAGAGGGGACGTGACTCCCGGGCAGCTCCGGCTCTCAGAGGTTAATGATTTATTGCTTTATGTCTTAAAAAAAACCAGCAGCGCCCTCCTTTTGGCATTTCCAGCTAATTATCCCAGGAGTTACTGATTAGCTAGGACGTGCCTAGGCCCAAGCAGCAGAGTCCTGTGGGTGCTGCTCAGCCACCGGCACTGCGCTGACATGGTGGCCGGAGCATTATTCCAGGGAGTTTCACTTTGTCTTCCCGGAAAGTTTGTAGGAACATGCCTCCCGCCGTTTAAAGTATGAGAAGCACGAGTCCGGTTTTGCAGGTTACCAAAAAAGCCACGCATTGAAGCGAAGATGCTCGTGCACACACACACGGTGTCTGACACCTCCTGTCCCGCTCCCTCAGCCGGGAGCGGCTGCGTTGCCATCAACCGAGAGACGTCACCGCGTCCCCGCTGCTCGGCACGGGCAGAGCCGCCCTCTGCAGCGCCCGGGCTGCGGCTCCTTGGCGAGAGCAGCAGCCAAGAGCTCCCCTCGTTCCAGCCACACCAGTGCCCCCGCTCCGGCGCGGACCCTCCCTTGACCCCCGCACTCACCCGACAGCTCTGGCTCCCGTCGAGGCGAGTCTGCGGGCGGCGGGGCCGGAGGCACTGTTAAATATTGCAGCCGACTTACTCACTTCTCTTCCTGGACGGCAGTGCGGAGTTTCCACCCACTTCTTTCACCTTTGGTTTCCAGGCTTTCTGAGAAAAGGGGAAGCCGTGGGAGGGAGCAACCGGCATCCCCGTGCCAGGGCCACGGCCCCCAGCAGCCTCTCCTTCCCGGGAAGGGGCAGATGCCAGAGGGGGCCGCTTTCCCGGGAAACTGCGACTCGGTTGGGAGTGCCTTGTGCTCCTGGCCCAGCACTCCACGACCGTCTTGGGTTAGGCAGATTTTCCTCCTCAGCCGAGTGGAGGGGGCACCCGAGTGCTGCCTCCCTGGCACAAGCTCAAGGGTGACTCCCTGACCAGCTCAGCCTCCTCCTTTGAGAGTGAAAATCCCCCCGAAACTCAGATGTACCTTGGCCTCGCCCCACCAAAGCCCATTCAGTTCCTCCTTTAATATAGTGCCTCTGCAAGTGGGGACAGTGCCAGAATTGGGGTCACATACACATCACAGACATCTGTGATGAGCTGCGTCCATCCTCAGCCTGCAGACCCCTGCCAGTAGCAGGTGCTGCCAAGGGCCTGGGAATGTGCCAGCATTCCATTTGGCAGCCAGTGTTTCATCCATTGGCATGCCCATTGGCACCACAGGCTGCGCTCCCTGGACACATTGATAGATTCTGTTCCCTGGGGCATTGTGGCCAGGCAAGTAGCCCCACACTGGCTGCTGCCGGCTCTGGTGGATGAGCACACGTGTCTGGTGAGACTCCTTTTTCCTAAAGTCCCATTCTCCAGCTTTCTGTCAGTGCCACCAAATGCACAGCCATTGTTTTTGCTCAGAAGTGACATCAGGTCCCCCAGGGTTCCCCTCGTCTAGCAGTCTGGAAATGAAAATCTGGAGCCTCAGCATTGGCTGTGCCACTGAGCTGATGGTGGGGTGAGCATCACTGCTCCTTCTGTGCCACGGTGAACAAACCCAGAAATAAACTGGCAAATCTATTGATGGGGGATGGCGAGATGCCTCACATGCCTGGCTGCCTGCACTGCCCTGTCTGGGCTTGACAGCTGCCCTGCAGGTGCAGATAAAATTCAGAGTGGTTTTGTCTTTTGGGAGCTGCCATGGTGTTTCTGGAGTGGGAAGCACCTGGAAAGCTCTGACATGGAGGTGACCAAGCTGGAGCCACAGTGTTATCAATGCAAACCCTCAAAAGAGGCAACATCATCAATTCAGGGCCTTGCAATATATTTTCAGGTGGTCGAGTATGGTTTGGCTACACACCTCCAGCTTTGCATGACTGCCACTCTCTGCTCCTTCGCTCCATAAAGGGGCTGGACAGGAACTTTGGCATGTGGATCCGTGATGTTTCAACATCTCTGATTTCTCAAGGCAGGGCTGCCCTTCTGCTCACCTGCCGCAGTCACACCCAAACGTGACACAGGTTATGAGCACCCAGCACTCCCTCCCCACAGCCATCACTTCTGGTAGATCTTAGTGTTACACTGGAGGGCTGGAGATCTCCCTGCTCCTTCCTGCTTCCTGCTCAACTCTTCCAAGGCAGCACTGCAGCATCAGGGATCCACCACTGGGGATGGGGCCTGGCCAAATCCCTCGTGCTGGCTGCATTGCTTGTCTTTGCTGGGGTCAGACCTTAGACATCCCTCTGGCTACTGCTCCTGATACCTTCCCCAGGACAAATCTTGCCCCCAGAAGGGTTATCTCCCTTCACAGTACCATGGCTGGCTTGGCCACTTCTTTGTACCCCTCTCCTTGGCTCTTGGGTCCTCCACATTATCTGTATGTGTCTTCTTCCTGGGAAGGGTCTGGCGAGCTCCTGAGTTGGAAAACCACTGGGGAACGGAGGAAGAAGCAAAGTGGGTGAGAGAGAGGCACAAACAGGGCAAACAGGGAAGTCACTTCAGGCCTGATGCCAAGGGGATGGACATCAGGGCAGCTCAGACCCTGCAAGGGTGGGAGGAAGGAGTGCACACGTTTGCTGGTGAACAACTTTGCCAGCTTCCATAATGCAGGTTGTGGAAAGAAGAGGAGGAAGAGTGTGCTTGGAGTTGGAGTGACTGCTTGAATCCCAGTTTTTATAGGTCTGGTTGGCAGAGGTGAGCGAGCAGAAGCAGTCTCTGGGATCATATGGGACCCGTCCCTTCCCTGTGACATTGGCACAGCTGAGACCTGATGTTGTTCCTAGTTCCCATTTCTTCAGGTTGCCCCGGTCTCCTTCAGCCAAAAGCAGAAGGTGTGAGTGAGGAGCAGCCTGGCCCAGCCCCCTGCAGAAGGACAGTGGCTTGGCATTTACTGGGGGAAGTGGGATCTTCCTGCAGCCTCACTGTGCTGGGAACGTGGCTAGGCACCAGAGCTTAGGTTTGCCCTTGTTGTGGGGGTCTTGTGGGAGAGGAGGCTGAACAACTGCCCCTAAAAGGCTGGGACTTCACCCTGGGGGGAGAAAATCCACCTTCCAGCTCTGGGGAGGGGGCAAAGGAAGAGAGAGCAGCTGGGTTTTCCTACCCATCCAAAGAAATGAGGCTAAAATCCCCTACCTTTGATCTCCTGTGACTGCAGAGAAAGCCAGGCAGCAGGACCAGGGTGTGGTTTAGTGCTCAGAAATAAGCCAGCAATTAGAACACCTCACAGTGTAACTGCTGACAGCAGAAAGTAGCCTTAGGGAAGGGCTGATGTGTGCATTCCCAGTGCCTGAGCCCCACAGCACTGTGGGGTTTTGGACAAAAGCTGTTGCAGCTGCTCCTTGTCCTGGGGCAAGACAGTGGAAGAAGGACCAGTGAAATGTCTGCAGCCTCCGGGAGTGTCCCAGTGACAGCCACTGCCTCTGGGGCTGGAGTGGGACAAGGGCTGTCGTGGCTGTCTGAGGTGGTCTCCTGGGAGATTCAATCTCTTCCCAGGAGGCTGCTCGAGGCTGCAGCCCCAGGCTGTGCACAGCAAGAAGGCTGAGGCTGGTGGTGCTGGGAGGCAACAGCACTGTTTGGCCCTTTAGGAGAGAAGCCCACAGTAGTGCTCAGATCCACGGTCATGCCCAGCCAGCACCTGCTGCCCCTCCCCAGGCAGATTCTCTCAGCTGTAGACTCACAGATGTCTAAGAAAGAGCTAATCCCACACTTCAGCATTAGCTGAGGCTCAGTCCATCTCCAGACTTAAACCTACAAATATCAGGCTTTGTGAGATTTAGTGGCCCAGGTGTGTCTTTCCTTTCCCCTCTCCCCAAAGCCAGCAAACTGCCTGCAAGCCCCTGTTCCTCCTCTGAGAAATGGCATACACGAGGGAAACCACATCTTTCAGCCTTGCCCTTGGGAAGAAGGATGTGGTGCTAAGGGACAGCTTGGGCTCAGCAGGTGCCTTTTCTCTTGACAACACGAAAACAGAGATGCCCTTGCTGAAAGAGTTGAGCAGCCTTGGTTTGTCCACAGAGCCTGATTCTCAAAACCAGGTTTGAGGGGCCGCACCAGTGGCCTCAGAGCTAGGGTGGCAGGACAGGCAGCTCGGCTGGTCAGCCCTTTGTTTGTGATGCCAGGCCCGAGTGCACAGGGAGAGCCTGGAGGGGCTGAGGTGCAGCCTCCATCACACCAAGAGTCCCGTGGCTGCTCCTGCAGTGCTTGCAGATGCACTCAGACCTCACAGTCTGGGGGATGCTGGTGTGGACTCTGGCCCTCCAGACCCTGCACTGAGCATTTGCATGGCTGCAGAGGAGCTCAGGCATGGTTACAACCATCAATGATGCCCTGCAACAAACCTCCCCCTCCTAAGGCCTGGCCAGCAGTGGGTATTTTCCTGCCAAGGGGATTTGCTCTGCCTCTCTCCCCAGAAGGGCTTTTTGTACACAGCCAGGGTTTTGCTCAGGCTGTGTTGCTCTGAGCTTGGACTCCCCCTCCACCTGCCTGTCTGTTTTTAGCCTATGTCATATTTTTGCATCCTTTGAGACATCCTGCTGTCTGGCCACCTGGATAGAAATCTGGTGAGATTTCATGAATGGAAATGAACAGGGGAAATGCACAGAAGTTCAGCTGGTGTGACCATCAGAGATAGCATTTACCTCTCTGGAGCAACTCCTTCTGCCCCCAAAGAGATGCTGGAACAGAACATACCCCAGACAGCTCCCTACTAAGTGTGATCTGCCAGGATAAACCAGTCCCCTCAGTGCTGGCAGCCCCAGCAGAAGCATGGCCAGGGGGAAAGGGAGTTTCTTGGGATGTTTTTCGTCTCAGTGTTCCTGTTTCCCCTCCAGCCCTCATGCATGGATCCTGGCAGCCTTATCCTTTTCCATGTAGCTTTGCAGAGGGAGCAAAATGAGTGGCTGGGGTTGAAGAAGTCTGGGAGATGGAGGAAGGCTGAGGAGAGGAGGGCGTGGGGAGGCAGGGGTGCCCCCTTGACCCACTACTGGCACAGCAAGCTAGGCTTCCAGCAGCCTTGAAGCAATTTGGGAATCAAATCTGCTGGCAAGGCAGGGAGGAAAACCACAGGGCTGAGTCATTCCTTGGAAAGCATTTGCATCTGGACAAATTCCAGCCGAACCCCTTTCCCACTACCTCTGTGTGGAGTGTCAGGGGTGGCTTACAGGAATGGCCACATCCTCTCCACCCAGGATGGAGCCTCCCTGGCCGGTCACATTCAGCCAGAAGCCAGGCAGCAACCACTGCCGACTTTGGCAGGTTTCCATCAGAAGGCAGGAAGGCTTCCCCGGGAGGGAAAGCTGTGATGGTGAAGCAGAAGCGAGAATGAAAGCAAGTGAGGCTGCAAGGAAGCTGAGCCTCTTCCCAGAAATGGCAAAGTGGGGTGTTGCCTTTCAGCGTCTCTTGAAAGAGTCAGACTGGGGCTGGTACCTGTTCCGAGCTTTCATTAGCAAATGGTCAGGATTTGGGATGACAATCTGCTCTAGGGATTTAGACTAGGAGAGGAGCAGCATTCAAGAAGGATGGAGGATTGGGAGCATCCAAACACTGACCCAGCATCTGCAGAAACTCAAGTTTTTGTCAGGGGTGAAAGAGGGGCTGGGGGAAAGGAGGCAGGGCTGGAGTTACCCACTGG